GTGACCGTTCCGAGTTACAACAGCACTGAAAAATGGGACTAGGGACACTAGAGACCATTGCAGCATTCTCCAAGATCACGGGATCAAAATTCACACGCTTGACAACTGGCATGAACTTATGCCGGTCTGCATTGTCCTGGGGGTCCCATTTTGCGACCTTCTGACAAGGAAACACAAAACGAGAAAGCCAGATTCACTTTAACCATGTTAGTGACTGGCATTAACAACTGTGGCACGAAAAGTTGTACCATGGGGTTAAATTCACTTAACGACGGTCTTGCTTAGCGGTGGAAGTGTTGGGCTCAATGGTGGTCGTAATTGAGGACTACCTATGCATAGATCAGAGCTGGGCAATTTTGGGATCTGTGGCAGGACAGGACAAGAAACGCCGTATGGAAACTGACCAAGGAGAGCAGCAACCTAGAAATAGGGACAAATTTCCTGACTGGGAGGACAATTAACCAGTGGAACGGAAGTTGCCTCCAGAAGTTGTGGATGCTCCAACACTGGAGGTTTTTAAGAAGAGACTGGATAGTCCCTTGTCTAGCAGGGGGCTGGACTAGAAGGCCTCCAAGGTCCCTTCTCTCTCTATTCTGATTCTGAAAACTCTCCAGCACCCACAACTTCTAAAGGCAAGCTGTTCTACTGGTTAATTCCTGATCCCCAAAGCCCCTGAAAGGCAGGAGAAGAAGCAATGGGTGGGAGCTAATCCAGGAGAGAAGCAACCTGGAATTAAGGAGGAAGTTCCTAACAGTGAGGAAAACGAACCAGTGGAACAGCCTGCCACCAGAAGCTGTGGGTGCTCTTTCACTACTTATGCCATATCCATCATCGGACATTGGTGATCCTATTTTTAATCAACTCCCATCACTGGAGGTTTTAAAAGAAGAGTCATTTGTCTGAAATTGTATAGGATCTCCTGCTTGAGCAGGGGGGCTGGACTAGAAGACCTCCAAGGTCCCTTCCAGCTCTATTCTGATTCACTTTCATAATTCTTGAGCCGTTCCTGAGTCAGGGGCTTTGACCAAGGCATACGTCTGCTGAATGCCTCCCTTACTACTGATAGATTTTCAGCTGCTCCCTCCTGCTAGACACGCATAGCCAGTCTTGCCCCCAAAGTTTCTGACCCTTTGGTTGGCTTTAGCCCTTCTTTTCATGGAAGGAAGGGCTGTTTTCTCCTTTGCCAATTCCCCTCCCTCTTAATAGTAAAATTAAAACAACGGAAGGTTTCAAGGAAACAAACTCTTGCCCCCAGCCCTGAAGTGGGGCAGCTGCCTTAGCAGCCCAGAGTTATATTCCTTCAACCACGCCCTGCAAAGGGACTGCTGAGGTCAGCGTCCCTCGGCAACAACACCTGCCTTGAGGGCAGCTTCCACTTCAAAGGGACGCTGACCTAAAACAAGCTATTTACTTTTATTCCAGGGTGTTTGGTGTTTTTCTCGGGCTTCTCAAGTTTCCTCGAAAAAGTTCCTAGCATTGCAGTGGAACCAGGCAAACAGCCAGGTGTTTTGAGGGCTTTGGCCTCCCACCCCCAGGAGAGGCCCGAGCGAGCGGGTGCGGCTGTGCCAGGGTGAGTAAACCTCGAGTAGCATAGCTGGTTTTACCTGCTGATCCGTAGGGCCCCTTTTGTCTCTCTCTGTATATAATTAAACTTACCCAACTTAAAATGCAAGTGAAAATAAAGGCAGGAGGGAAGGGGAAAAGGGAAAAGAGAAAAATGTGGGAGAAAGGGTAAACAAAGAAAAAGAAAGCATTAAACTTCCAACTCTTTCTCAGCAGAGTAAAATAAAAGGGATAACATTACAGCCTCTCAACTAGGTAGTCCTCAACCATGACTGAGCTCAGAACCTCAGTTGCTAAGCAAGGCAGTTGTTGAGTTTCATCCCATTTGACAACCATTTTTGCTACAGTGGTTAAGTGAATCATTACAGTTGTTTAGTAGCATGGTTATTATGTGAATCTACTTCTCCATTGAGTTGGCTTGTCAGAAGGTACAAAAGTGGATCACATGATCCCAGTTGCCAGGCCTCCACATTCTGGTCACTTCACCATGGGGAGGCTGCAATGCTCATGTGAAAAAACTGTAACTTTTTTCAGTGCCGTTGTTAACTTCACTAAATGAATGGTTGTTAAATCGAGAATTTATCTGTTCTTAGTCATATACTTTGTCAGCCTTCAAGATTTTCTTCCTTTGCTTTGCATCTTTCGGCTGTCATAAGTAACGGGGAGGAGGGGGGAAAAGTATGGGAAGTGAGCTGGAGGTGTTGCAAACTACTACTATATAAACTGAGGAGGGGGTAGAGTACATTCTTGCTTAGGTTTCTATTTCTTGCTTAGCTTTCTCTTCTCTGCGCAGCTGCAAACCTTTATCAAAGTCTGCCAAGGTCAACAGACATCACCACCTGAAGATGTCCACATGATGACATTCAGAACTTTTAATTGGAAGAACCATTTGAACTATTGGGGGTGGGAACATTGCCATCACTTTGTATATGTGATTTACGCGCCCATTTTCTCAGATTCAGAATTCTTTTGTTGCTACCACTTGACTTCCAGTAAAAGATATCTTTTCTCTAATTAAAAGAGTCTAAGTATTTCTTTCTTGGATTTTGAATGGAGCACCAGCTGACCATACTTGCTATTTCTGTAATGACAAACTTATCTAATCAGCAAAACCCACTGCGTAGCAATGGGTGGCTTTGTATCTTCCTTCATGCAGGACAGTCATTCTGGAAAGACCGATCTGGCCAAATTATTTCTGTGTTTGTTTTTATACTCTTCCTTAGGGAGGCCAGACCAAAGCCAGGCTTGATTAAAAACAGAAAAATAAACAAGGAAACCGCCTCCTATAAAACCAAAACAAGGTCTCTGTTTACACCACGTGCTTCATCGGAGGCCAGAAAAGGTTTGAAAACAATTTACATCACAGGATGTTCAGCTTGCACAATCTCTTGGCATGGATGAGTTTAAGGATGGGCGTATTGTGGCAAGACAGAAGATAGGTTAACTTAATATCCTGAAGAGATCTGATTAGGGATCTGTTGTAAAAGCAGCCACGAGAGAGGGGAATAATTAAAATAATCTGTGGCCATCTATTAGGCTTGGTTCTGGTAATGGAATGGCTAAATGTTTGCCACCATATCTGGTCTTTAATTAAAGTTAGGATTTCCCAACCGTGGCAACTTTAAGGCACGTGAATTTCGACTCCCAGAATTCCCCAACCAGCAAAGGGAGTTTAATAGTATGTTGTTTATTGCATTTGTGGTTATTTTATTCCCATCACAGAGGTTTTAATTTCTATCTGTTATGTGTAAGACAACCCTTGACTGTGGTGGTACAGAAACGTGTTAAGCAAATAAATGAGTCCACTTTGAAATCTATGGTTGTCAGAGGAGTCTCCTGTCCTTTTCTTTCTTGTTATTTCTACTCCAGTACTGAAATCTTCCCTTGGTTTGACAGCTGCTGCTTCCTTACAGATTGCTGGTTATCTCCACACCTGGTGACAGTGAACTCCATAATTGGCATGTACGATGGAAAGCAGAAATCAGGTCACTCTGTGCTTACAACTCAGGAAATAAATCAGTCACTTGAGTATGAGGTAGTCATTCAGGTCTAGTTGTGGAGGTCCCAGGTTACAAACCCAGGAGACGTGAATTCTAGTCCCGTTCCTAGCCATGAAAGCCAGCTGAGTGATTGTGGGCCAGTCCCCCTCTCTTTCTCTCTCTCTCTCTCCAAGGGTTGTTGTGGGGAAAATGGGAGGAAGGAAATGCTAGGCTCAGCCTCCTTGAGTCAATTATAAATAATAAAGGCAGGACACAAACACCGAAAAATGTAGGCCAACCACTTCCACTACCCAGCCCAGCTTCCTGGCCACCAATGAAAGCAAAAAGTCAACTACAGAGGACTCTACCCCCAGAACTTCACACCACCTGGGGTATCAAATTTATTATGGTACATATTTAAGCATAGTTTGTTGCACTCTGGAGCCACAACACATCCCAGTCTTATTTTGGAGTTGAGAAAAGATGCCTTTAGATTCCAGGTATATCGGATTCCCTTGGCAAGCGCCCTGGAAGGGTGAGGGGGCAGCTTTTCATTGGTGGGCAGAGCTGGGGGGGGAGAGAGACGGAGAGATCTTGGGCTGCTCACTTCCTGTTTTGAAGGGGCTCCTGGGTGGAAAATGCAGGCCTGGCATGTTAGTCACTATGCCTGGCATGTGGTCACATGCAGAACTGCCGCCATCGAAGTGCCTCCATGGGAATGGTTCAGGCAACCATTGGAGCGAGAGCAGATTCCTCTGGCTGACTACAAGAATCAATGTAGAAATTCAACGTAGAGAAAAGTGAAGTCCTCCACTTAGGCAAGAAAAACCAAAAGTGCACATATAGACTGGGTGAAACCTGGCTCAATAGCAGGAACTGGGAGAGGGATCTCGGAGTCTTAGTGGACAACCAACTAAACATGAGCCAAAAGTGTGTGGTGGCAGCCAAAAAAGTCAATGCAATCCTAAGCTGCATTAACAGAGCGATTCAATCAAAAACAAGTGAGGTACTAATACCGCTCTATAAAGCCTTAGTAAGACCACACCTAGAGTCCTGCATCCAGTTTTGGTCACCACATTATAAAAAAGAGGTTGAGACTCTAGAAAAAGTGCAGAGAAGAGCAACCAGGATGATGAGGGGACTGGAGGCTAAAACCTACGATGGACGGTTGCAGGAACTGGGCCTGGCTAGTCTAGGGAAGAGAAGGACCAGGGGAGGCAGGAGAGCATCTTCCAATATCTGAGGGGCTGCCACGGATAGGAGGAAGGGAGTCAAGCTATTCTCCAAGGCACCCGAAGGCCAGACAAGGAAGAATGGATGGAAACTGATCAAGGAGAGATTCAACCTGGAAATAAGGAGAAACTTTCTGACAGGGAGAACCATCAACCCCTGGAACAGAAGTTGCCTTTGGAAGTTGTGGGAGCTTCATCCCTGGAGGCTATCAAGAAGAATCTGGACTGCCATCTGTCAGAAATGGTATATAGGTTTTTTTTGCCAGAGCAGGGGGTTGAACTAGATGACCTCCAAGGTCCCTTCTAACTCTGTTGATCTGTTAATCCCTTGCAATTCTGGAAATGGGCACGAGAGTCTTTGGAGTTCTGCCCTGCACTTCCTATTGATCCAACTGGACTCTTGGGGCCCCTTAGATTGGTCCCCACCCCACCCCAGGACCCAGGCCTCCCCATCAAGAAGCCACTATAGGCAACCACTCCCTATAGCTGTTGCCCAGTTCCAGATGCTGCAGTTGGAGAGCCCGGCACAGGGCCAGGTTGGCGGCTGCCATGAGACCGCGGAGGAGGGCATCGGTCTCCTTCGGGGCCGGCAGAGGCCACAGCCCACTTCCTGGCAGCAGGCCAGCCGCCGCCAGCAGGAGGCTGCCCACCACCCCGTCGGTGCTTCCGGTGAAGACGGAGACGATGAAGATGGTGATGGTGACCACAGAGATGACCGAATGGACCACCATGGCCTTGCCGTCTTCGGTGAAGTAGCCCCAGCCGCCAGCCAGCATCAGGGCGCCTCCCAGGAGGACGTTGGCCGTGAAGCAGTCCCCATTCAGCCAGTGGAAGCCAAAGGCCAGCAGCGGCAGCCCCACCACCGTGCAGGGCCAGCTGTGGTCTGGGGGCCGGGCCCCTTGCCAGCGGGGCCCAAAGGGGATGGTTTCCAGGAGGGGCCCGAGGGCCTGGAGGAAAAACCCGGCGGCAGTTCCCCGGTTGATCTGCAGATAGAGAGAGCAAAGGGGCCTTCAGACCTGCAGGGTGGGGCTGCTCCATTCCCCCAGCTGGGGGTCTTGGCAGCCACCAGGAAACCTTTGGCAGGGGCTCGGCTGCCTCCCCAGCCAACTAGCCCCTTTCCTACCTGGAAGGTCCGAATGGCCGAGTACAGACAGACAGCGGGCAGCAGGAGGTTGGCAAGGAAGGCGGCCAGGCCCTGCTCTGGCCAGGTGGGCATCAGGATGCAGCTTCTGCAAGAGAGAAGGGGGTTATTTGGGCCCCACTTCAATGCTCCAGCTGCCCTCTAGACAAGCCGGGAGGAGGCGCGGCTGCAGGAGCAGCGAAGGGCATGCAGCCTGCCCCAGGCTTGCAGGGAAGGCTCAGCGGACAGGCGTGGGAGAAGGTTGGGGGCTGCAGAGGGTGGAATAGACCCCCCCTGCTCCTCTTCACCGCATGGGCTCAGCGTGCAACGCCGTGCAAAACGGGTGGGAAGGATGGCCTGGGGGGGCACCCTTCCTACAAGCAAGCTTTTCTCCGTGAGGGAGCGGCCAGAGGATGGAAGAGACCCCCGTGTGTCCTTCTTTACCAGGTGGGCTCAGCCGGAGTCCTCTATCCGTAAAGCAGAGGTGGGATGGATGGTCTCTGGGTGCTCCTTCCTCGAGGTGAGGACCCCCTTCCTGCAAGCAAGACTTCCTCCGTGGGAGCACGGCCGGACAGTGGGAGAGACCGCCCCCCTGCCCCTTTTCACCGGGTGGGCTCAGCCGGAGTCCTCTGTCCGCAGTGCTGCGCGAAGCAGGGGTGGGATGGATGACCCCTGGGGGATCCGCTTCCTGCAGGCAAGCCTTCCTCCGTGGGAGCGCGGCCGGACGGTGGAAGAGACGCCTTGCCTCTCTCTTCCCTGGGTGGGCTCAGCCGGAGTCCTCTGTCTGCAACGCTGGGGCAAAGCAGGGGTGGGGTGGGATGGATGGCCTCTGTGGACCCCTTCCTCGAGGGCCCCGCTTCCTGCAAGGCAATTGACGTCCCGGATTCGATCGGGGTCCCGGAGCAACGGAGAGGCCCTCCCCTGCGCCCGGGCAAGCGGCGCCCGCTCCCCCGGCCCCCCGTAGTCCTTACCCAGCAGAAGCGCCTCAGCTAGCCAAGAGTCCGCCGAGCGCCCCGCATAGAGTTCTTCTAGGCTAGAGCGGCACTATCGAGGGAGAAGAGCTCGGCCATCCGGCCAGAGAGGCAGGGCGGAACCATAGAGTTTCGCGAACGAGTTAAAAAAAAAATTCGACCCATCGGCGCATGCGTAGTTTTGCAACCCTTCCGCCTGTCCCGATGCCGGGTGTTCGGGCTGGCGGATCGCGCCTCCTCCACGGCTGGCCGCGGTTGATGAGCGTGGTTGCCCCCTCATTTCCACCAGCGGCCCCGCTCCAGACGGGGAGGTGAGCCCGTTGCCCCAAACCTCCTGCGGGGCACTTGGTTCCTCCGCTCGGCTCTCGGGGCAGAGCCCGGCAAGGACGGATCTGCCGAGGCGCTTTGCACGTGCTCAGAGGCGCCCTCGCCCGCCGCGATGGGGATCGTCAAGTTGGCCGAGCTGATCAAAGAAGAGGCTCCGGACGCCGTGCGCCCCGTCACCCTCCAGGAGTACCGCGGTGAGCACCGCTCCGCCCCTCCCCCCGTCCCTGAGCATGCACAGAGTGCAAAGAGTACCGATCCGCCCTCGGTCCCTGAGCATGCAAAAAAGGCCCACCTGACCTCGGTTCCTGAGCATGCACGGAGTGCAAAAGTGACCTGCCTATCCGCAGTCACTGAGCATGCACAGAGGGCAAAGAGTACCAGTCCTCCCTTGGTCTCTGAGCATGCACAGAGTGTAAAGAGGGGTGTGTGTGCCCTGGGTCTTAGAACATGCACAGAATGCAAAGAAAGGGGCCATCCACCCTCAATCCCTGAGCATGCACGGAGTGCAAAAATGACCTGTCTGCCCTCAGTCCCTGAACATGCACAGAGTGCAAAGAAAGGGGCCATCCACCCTCAGTCCCTGAGCATGCACGGAGTGCAAAAATGACCTGTCTGCCCTCAGTCCCTGA